TGGCCTGGCCTGGCCCTTGGCTTAATAAATTGCAATTGTTTGCGAGATAACTTTGCACCCACGCCCACTTTGGTTTGTTCCCCGTCGTTGCGGCTATGGATTTTGTAATTGGTTTTGGCTTTGCCCACTGCATTTGACAAACAATAATCACAAAAAAAAAAAAAATGCAAAAAAGTTTAGCATAATGTGCAGCAAGAAAGAGCAAACAAAGTTTTCAGAACATTCAGTCGCAGAATGGACTTTTGTATGTGCGGTTAACGAAGCAAATAGACAAAAATTTAGCCCGAGAAAGTTGTAATTTTTGTACAGCAAGTAACTGAATACAAATATTGGCCGTAAGTTTCATAAAGCTAATTGTTTTGTACGCACCCAGATAGTCTATGGATGCACTTAAATCTCCTACAAACTCGATTTGAGCTTTAAATTTTAAATTAATAACTAGCAGCAAACGCAAACTTAATAAAAAGATCAAAAAACAAGATAGCTCTTTAAATATTATGGTGTAATGTGAAAACAATGCACAATTCTATCATGACCGAAACATAAGCTTGACTGAGGCGAAAACCAAATTGTTTAAATAATAGTTCATAACAATACACATGCACTTCGCATCCCACTGATATGCAACAGACAGATAGACAAGTAAACAACGTAGGCAGTGCTGAATAGGGCGTGTCAGGGGCGGGCGGGAAAGGCAACATTTTCTTCATTTGTCTAGCAATAATTGTTGGTTGCTTTACCCTACATATATAAACGGTGGTAGATAATTTTGAATATTTGTATTCCATATTGGTATCTATGACAGTATATTGAAAAATGGAATATGGACGAATGTCAGTCCAGTAGAATCATCGTTGACAATTTTGAATCAATCTGTTCTCCAACAGTATTTAAAATTAATGCGATCTGACTGTGGCAGCGTGTCTTAGGTATGCATAAGGTGGCATCTAAGAGTTTTTAGCTTATATATTTGCATTAGCATTAATAATAATAAAATACCCCGGTAAATAATAAAATGCTACATTTTTTCAACTCATGCGATTGCTTTGCTCATAGGGTATCTGCTATTTTAGTTCTCTGGCATCGAATCATCTTGTTGTATTTCCGCTTTTGTGTACAACTGACCGCCAGTGGAAAAACGCTGACTTTGTCGACCCAACTCAAACAAAGGCGAAAAATTAATATTACAAACAATATGCGTGTTTTTCTGCTCTGTATGAAATTGTTTAAATAATTTATAAACATGTGCAACATGTAATCAGACAGCTCCTGCTATTGCGTATTATGCTCTGAAAACTCTGCCAGTCATAAAAAAAAAACCCTTTCAAAACACACAAAACTCTAGTTATTGTTATGACTCAAGTCAAGGGGTCAAGTGTTGTTTGTGTGTATTATGGTCAGCACGTACTACAACTGAATGAGTAACTGTGACTGTAACTAACTCAAACTGTAACTGGGCAAGAACTCCAACTGTATCGCCAGTCATACACCATGACTATTTCCTCCTCCACTTCGATGTCTCTTTTGTGCAAGCAAATTTTAATTATTAGCATACGTTCCGGCGCAATGGCAGCTACGCCTTCTGAATTTTATGAGCTCTGTGAGTTTTATTTCACATTTCGTATGCGTAACGCGTACGTTTTGTGTCTCTAATTGAAAAAAATATCAAGCATACTAATATTTTGACGAACTTTCGGACAGCTGCAGAACGTATATAAGCAGCAGCTGCTTCAAATAGGTTGAGCTGTTGTTTTACGTTAAAGTTTTGAGCTTAAAACATCTGTAGATATTTAACAATTGTAAATCATCGGAAAGTTTTGCCAACTATTTATTAATTTATGCAACTACATGTGGAACTGCTTTAACTCCGCCTCAAGCCACTCAATATTTAAGATCGACCTTAGTATTCCTGAGCAAGAATAGCGCATGCAGTCGCCTGTCTATACGAAAAGTTTAACGTTTAATTAGACAGCTAACAGACGGGTAGTCGCTCAGGTAAGTCATTCAGACTTGCAAATAATGCTCTTAATTTTCCACGGAAAACTACAAACTAAGCTTCTTAATTAAATACGCATTACCGTGCCTCTAATTGCCTCGGATATGCTGTTTTAGTAATCATAGCAACAACAACAAAAACATGCAACCGAAACAAAACAGGTAATTGTTGAAGTCGACTGCAAAAGTTTTTGTTGCGGCGCGTGTTGCAGTCAATAAAATGTGCTGAGAAATAAGCAAACATTAAATTTAATTATCAGCCGACACTTTGACCTCAGACAAAGTGACTAACTGACAGTGAAACTGACTGGCAGGTAGACACACATCATGATTATTTAAAATGCAATGGATCTATAGTTAATGGTAAATATCGTCGCGCTAAATCATATTTAATTAATAATCATTTCAATACGACGTCGGTAGCAGGCATATGGCAGGCACTGTAGTTAGCTGGCATGCCATAAGCTAATTCAACGGCTCAAATCATCAATCACTGCAGTGGAAATGTTTAACTTTGCCAAGTTCTCAGTGGAAGTATCGGGCTGTGCACGAAAAAGTTTAATGGCTTACCAAATCAACGTGGTAGTTTGTTGGTGCCATTTGACATTGCATGGTTTCTTGTTGTTGTTGTTGTTGTTGCTTCTGTTGCGCTTGTATGTTGGCAGAAAAAGAGCAATGGCGGCTGGCTAAAATATGCGCACGCCGCAGGTAATTTGTGACTTCAAATGGCTTTTTTCTGCAGCGTAGCAAAACAAATTTTTATTTTTTCTTTTGGCATGCCGTTGCCCATTTAATGCTCGATGACATTTCCCCTTTCTACAGCGGGAAATTTATGCTTAAATCGTGTGGCAATATGTAGTTGCATATCTAATGCAGAAGCAGTAACACAATTTAGCAAAGGAAAACGAAAATAGAGATAAGTTGATAGTTGTGATTAAAAGCGGGCAATACTTGGATAAGAGACGGCAACTAGAAAATTGACAGAATGCTTGCAGTTTTTTAGAAATAAGAAAAAACGCTTTTCCTAGCACGTCGTAGATTGCGGACCGGAGGTAATCTGAAGACATTTATAATGTTTTTCCGTGTTGTAATATTATTAAGTTTGAGTACAGCTTATGCAAGTTTTACTTATAATCTTTATATATTCCGCATTTGTGTAGTTAAATTGTATTAGAAAGAGTGTCATGTGTAGCTAGTTCTACCTGGATATAACAACTTATAGTAGTGTTTCCGATCCGGTTGGTTACGTCGTAATTACTACTTTAAGAAAAATAATTGATATATGTCGAGTTTGAACCATATTATTTTAAAACTTAGGCAGTTTAACTTATTCAATAATTTTGTGTAAGTAATGAGTTGAGATCAGACAGACAAACGAAAATCGACCAGGGTTGTGATGGGGTCAAGAATATTTAGTCTTTATGAGGTCGGAGAACTCTCCTTCAAACTCTACGAAATAAATAATAATGCCATCGACAAGGATATAATATACAATATTAAAGACTGTCTTATATCATAAGCATCATATTTGATAATAGTCTAGCTGTACAAACTATGTCACAAAGCATTAATAGTCTCATATTCCGAAGCATCCCAGTGCATCGCAGTCCCATTTTCAATACTTGGGGAACATTTAAGTCAAGACTTTCAACTTTATTTATGCTGTTCGCAACTCTTAAACTTTCGCGCTTAAATCATAACTGTGCTTATTGTTTTTCCTGATGCTGTTGTTGTTGCTGTTTCTTTTGCTCTTGTTTGACTGCCAATGTTTTGGCTAGGAGCTGGCCATAGTTGCGCTCTTATTTACCCCTTTGGCGCACAGTTTGGCTTATTCAAGTGTGGCTTTTTCATGTGCACACTGCGGAGTCACTTTGACCTGCATGTTATTCATGGCTAAGCCCCATATACACACACACACACACAGACACACAGTAGCTAGCTTTCTGACTGCACACCACAGTGAACCCAATCCCAACAGCCAAACCAACAATTTTCTAAACTTGCGCGCGCTGCGCATTTATGTAGTAAGGGGAAGGCGTTGGCCTGGACGCGAAAATGGACGGGGGGTGGAGGCGTGGGCGTGTGGGATGGCAGCGCTCTAAGCTGTGCTAAACATTCCCTAAATATATTTTGCAACAGCTCCTGTGCACACACACACATTCAGACACACATACTATTCCGAGATAAGCGGCGCACATACCACAGCCAGGACGACAAGAATAGCAGCAAAGGGCACCGCGGGCTGCAATGAAACTTTTTGCACCTGAAAATTTTTACAAAACTATTCACAGTTGATTTTTCACCTGATGCTTTTCATAGACGGTGTGCATGTGTGAGTGTGCTTATGCCTATGCACCTGTGTGCGTGTGTATAAGTGCTTAAAATATTTGTCTGCTTGGCTGTTGGCGAAGCTGTGGCATGCCAGGCAGCCCCATCCAAATGTCTGGCTTCCCACGAACGGCTCGCTCTTTAGGATTCAAGTTAAATGTAGTGCCTTTACTGGACCAGGTGAAGTGCTCCAGTGCCCCATCAGAGGTAGCCAATTGCATTGGGCGCCCAACATTTTATGGGTTTCATGAATCCTTTAAGCTATTCCATTTATTTACATTTTAAAGTTGTTCTGTTGTTTATTATAATTAAAATTGAGTTACAAATTTTTGTTTTTGTCTTTAAGCATATAACATTTTACGAAAATACAAAATTGTTATGGAGCATGAAAATATTGAAATTGGTTTGGAAAATATGTATTTGGTTGGACTATAAAATATAGCAGATTACAATATTTGATGCCCAATTCACAAGTCACAACTAGAATCTTTAAATCATACATTCCTTAAAGCACACAATATGTGGGCCCATTCCATGAAACGCTCCTGTCTCACTATCATAGATATACCAACTAGTGTAAGCATGCATGTGTGCCGTCCTATCTTTATGCATTTTATTATATAAGCTTCGACATTAAGCTCGCCCTGCTCACCGACTCACTCTTCTTTCGCCTGTAGCTATGGTCTCCTAGGCGCCTCTGGCTGTGGCAAGACAACGCTGCTCAGCTGCATCGTTGGACGACGGCGTCTCAATTCGGGCGAAATTTGGGTGCTGGGCGGACGACCTGGCTCCCCGGGTTCCGGTGTGCCAGGTCCGCGAATTGGCTACATGCCACAGGTGAGTTGAACGGCAGATGCCTGAATATTTCATTCGCTTTTTATTGCCCTGCCGGAGTTGGCTTCGTTTGCTCGTAACTAAATTAAATAAATGCAATAAAACGTTAAAAGCCAGCATTCGCGAAAAATGTGAAACAAAAGGACCCACAAATTCAAAAAAATAAAATAATATAATAAAAGTTTTAAATGCTGCACAGCACAAAACTTTTAATTTCGGCAAAGCGAAATATTATTTTCAGTCCCCGGTGCTCATAAAGCTGCAGTGCTGGAATTAGACAACGAACCGTATTTTCCTTTGTGTTTTCGCTCCGTATATAAAATAATTCACTTTTTGCAGGAGATAGCTCTTTACGGGGAGTTCACAATGCGAGAGACTTTAATGTACTTTGGACTTATTTCGGCCATGCCCCGCAGCGACATAGAGGATCGCACCGAATTTCTGCTCAAATTGCTCAATTTGCCACATGGCTCGAAAAATGTCAAGAATTTGAGTGGCGGCCAGCAGCGTCGGGTGAGCTTGGCCGTTGCTCTGCTCCACGAACCGGAGCTGCTCATATTGGATGAACCGACAGTGGGCGTGGATCCGGTGCTGCGACAGAGGTACGTATGAATATACAATATTGTTGCGAGGGTGGCTCAATTGGTAGTTGCCACTCAGCACGAGTTGTAGCGAATATATATGGATCTTTTGCGAATTTGTATTTAACATTTTGTGCCAATTATATCAGAATCGGTAGCTAAAGTTAGTTAGTTGGTTATTTGCTCAAGTATATACAATGTATAAGACTATATGTAAAAGTAATTATTAGAGTAGAAAAGATAGTTTGTCATAATAATAGAACCATTTAAATTTCCAGCATCCCGTATAAAATTTTATTACGTGAAAGGTATAGACTAGCTTTGTTTTTTTTTTTTTATAATAATAAAAGTTAATCGTAGCTAGATAATAATGACAAACGCGTTATTTGCTAAAACTTTAATATTATTAAATTGACCTATTTATGCTTATAAATATGTCCATTAATTTGTATATAAATTAAAGTTGGTACAAAGTACTAAACATTTTGCTAGGTTATTTTTATTGATATCCAATCAAATATATTAACTAAAATAAGACATGGTTAATCCGTTTTAAATATTGATTATTGTATTAATTCCGAAACCCATTCCAGTCCCATTGTAGGGCACTATTACTATTACCATTGTAGGACACTATTACTATTATAGCTTTACTTAAAGAGCTGTGTATAGATAAAATATGTTTCATTTGAGACTTTCAATTGATGAGCACTGATTGACTCTTTATCACTTTTGCAGCATTTGGAACCATTTGGTGGAAATCACAAAAAATGGTCACACTACTGTGATAATCACTACGCATTATATCGACGAGTGTGCCCAGGCGCATATGGTAAGTTCACATAGAATACATATAGTTAAGTTGTGGGAAGGGTGATGGGAGTGACGATGTGGAATGTGGGATGTGGCAAACAGGCAAGTGTCAATGGCTTTTTGGCGCCCACGCATTGTTTGTACACTTGATTTATAGTCGGTGCTTGCACGTCTATTTGTAATATGTGGCGTATGAGCAATATTATGCGCTTCAGCTGGCTCCGGCTGGCAAAGGTGAAAGCTCAGACGTAAGTCTCCTAGCAACTCTCTCCCACATCGCTTATCAGCTCAAGCTCAAGCACAAGTGTGCGCTGTCAACACGCGGCGCTAAGTGCTTCCTTCTGGTGGGGCATGTTTGGATGGTGAGGATGCTGTGCGGTAGGTTGGGGTGGGGTTAAGACGGCATGTGGGGTCTTTTCGCTTGGCAAATTTGTATCCTTCGCGAGCTGCAACAAATCTGTGTCATCTTTCGAAAAAGTACAATATCACTGGGCCGTTGTCCCACTGTTGACCCATGGCCATGGCACGATTTACGAGGCATTTCCGAGCGAGACACATTGCAAAATTTACTTCAGATTTATTTATGTTGCCAATGCGACGCACGATAATCAGCCAGCGAGCGAGAAAGAGATGCAGACAGTGCGTATATGTGTGTGTGTGTGTGTGTGTATACGTTAGTCATTTGCTGGCCTCTGCCAATGCGAGTGGCAGACAATGAACCATGCCAGCGACTGACATTGCCAGTAAAAATATGGAAAACAAAAAAATCCTGAAAAATACAGAAATAACGCGTGACAAAGCGCACAATGCAAACGCCCGTCACAATGGACACTTAGATAGACAGATCCATATATAGATAGACCAACAGATACCCATGCGACACGCACAGGATATGAACACTCAGATACTCACAGACACACACTTACACCAAACACGCACATATAAGACAAACAAGCAAATCCTCACATGCTTATGCTGGTCAGGTCCGAGTGGAAGCTAAGCTAAAGCCGAGTCTGCAACATATATCAGTGGCAAGTCCCAAAGATTGATGCAAAAGAAACGACCATAAAGAGTTGGCAGAGGTTGGAGAGTAGTGAAAACAAGCAAACAAATCGACACGTATGTATATTCTTTATGCTAGGCATATGAAATCAAATGATTGATGGCCCTGCGATTTATAATATTGCAAAACTCGGATTTATTTAGGTTCTGATCAACACTTAAATGCGGCTCAGCAATTTGGGGCCTGATGTGATTTTTGTTTACATTTTGTGGCGTTTTAAGTGACTCTGCGATTAGATACTTGGTGTGCTTAAATCTGCTGTACTTACAGTGGTTCAAGTTAAAAGGAAATCACTTGAAAAATACATAACATAATAGGTCGTCCGTTATAAGCTAAACTAGACACCAACAATTGTAAACAGTTTTAGTCTTATATTTCGTGATACTGTAGGTAACATCTTTAGTGCTTTCTCCAGATGAAAACCAACAGCAGTTATATTTTTACCAATATAATAGCTTAAATTTGATATCACTCAAGCCCCAAGCAACCTCATTAAATTTTAATGAACGTCGAAAAAAGTAGGTTTTTTTTTGTATATGTCAAACATTATTATAAGGAAAATATGTTCAGAAATTGAATTTAAATCAATTCCCAGCGAATGCTATTAAATTATGTAAAGCAGCTTACTTGGTATATCTGTATTTCAAAGTGCTGTTTCAAAGTGTGCTCTTGAGCTCGTTAGCCAACTGCTTAACGGCACTTGCCACACACGCGACAATCGACACACTCATGCAACAGCTGTTATACGGTTGTTGTCAGAGCGACGACACCCACACTCTGTGTGAATCATTCCAGTAAAGAGTTATGGCCAATAAACAAAATCATTGTGCGATTTGGCTTACCACAAAACGTGCTGGTAACCTGAAACGCACCATAGCGTCCACAAAAAAAAACATGGGTCTAAACCGTAGATTTAGGGTGCGGTTAATCAAACCGCAATGCGTCGTCCATTGAAATGCGTCTTTAATGCCAATTGTTCTACTGAGCTTTGGATCATAAAAAAATTCCAAAAAGTAACAGCGCTAACAGCCTATGCTGGTAACAAACTTTTGACCAGTCTTTTGTCTGTCTGGCAACTTTGGTGACAGTGTTTAATTGCTCATATTGAACACGTGTCGTCTCCTACAACAACAACAACAACAACAACAACAAAAACAACAACAACAGCAGCAACCGCACCAAGATTTACAACAATAACAAAGATTCGGTTTAGATTGTGCACGCTTGAGTTGACTACTCGTATTATGGTCGGCAGCAAATTGCTTTTTCAGCTTTGTCACTTTTTCGTGCCACGTTTTTGTTTTGCCGCAGGTTGCGCAATACCCAGCGCACAGGCCAAGCTCGAAGGAGTCGTCCTGCAGCAGCACAGAATTTCGCCAATTCTGCACGTCACTTGGACTTCAGTTGTCGTGCGACTTTTCCAACTGTCCAGCAGACTTGCTCATTTTTTATATGTTTTTTTTGGTTTTTTTTTGTTGTTTTTTTGGCTTTTTGTGTGTGAGTGTTTGTGTTTTTCTTTGTCTATTGTTGAGTCAACAGAATTGCGTGGTGGCAGCAGAAGAGCAAATGCATAGACACTAAAGCACTTGTGTGAGTATTTGTATAGTTCACACACATTCAGGCACACCTATATTTAACTAGTCTGAGTTGGTGCTCGTGTTGATTGAATGGGAAATTTCCATTGACATCTAACAACAGGCACTTGGTTTGTTCCGGCCCGTTCTTTTGGCCATTTCACTTGATCTGCAGGCGCCAAGTTGGCATTTACAATTTATTATTATTGCACGTCAAACGTTTTACAAGCTGAAAATTCATTTTTGCTGCAAATTTATGTGCAATGTAAACAACTAAATTGATGAGAAATAATAAACGGCGATTTGTAAACCGTCTAGCACAATCATAAAATAATCGCTAAATTTTTCTATTAAAGAGGAGCACTATAAGTAATTTTCCATATATTTCTGAGCTTGTCAAAAATTATTGGACTATTTGGAGTGAGTTCTTGAAACACTTTATTCAATATATAAATATAAATATTAAACTGGAATATTTCGCATGGATCTACGCAATCTTTAGACAAAATCTTTGCACGAATATTCACAAGCAATTTGGATTTAACAGATATAAAGGGTGTATCAATGTAGAGGTCATATGAGTATCAGTTGAGTGTCGCAAAAGAATATCGGCAGAAAATTGAGATCTTTGGGATTCTGTTTTTACAGTCGTTCGGGAAATATAGATTTAAAAAAAAACGTAAAACGTGCGTATCGTAATATGAAATATTAATAATTTTTTTTATTGATTTTTATATTGATTGGTTGCTTTACTTGCAAAAGTCGCCTATTATATATAATAAAAAACAGCCACGGCAATGTCGCATAAAATTGTCAATCAATGTAACCGCAATTCTCACAGAACCCACAAAAAAATGAGGCCCACGCAGATACATACACACACACACACGTACACACACACACACACACACACGCGCACACACACACACGTACACACACACACACATACGCACAAGCAAGCCGTTTGACTGGATTCGCTTTATTTTTTGTTCGTCATATCAGCAATTATTAAACTGTTCGTTTGCACTTTCCGTGCTGATTTCGAAATATAAAGTCTTATTTTGATTGCTCGAATTACTTTTTTTCTTATTAAAAGGCAACATGCGGAAAATTACGCGACAATAAAGGAGATGCAGCACAGAAGAGACAGCATACTATCAGGGACACTAGGCAATCACAAAAAAAAAAAAAATAATAAATAAAATAAAATGTAAAAGTTAGAAACAGAAACTGAAGCAGCAACTGAGCAATCTAAGAGTGTTGCAATCGCTGCAGAAAATGCCAAGAGTGCAAGACGGGGTGAGGGATGGGTGAAAATGGTCGCAACAATATATCCATCAAATAACGTTACGCTCCCTGATTTCATTTATTAGAGCATAAAGTGCTACATGTACAACTGACTAATGCAAATGGAACCCCCGGCTCCCAATCCTCCATTTAGAACCGTGGCCACAGTTCTTTCTTTTTGTTTTCGCCAACCATTTCCCATGAGCCAAGCCAACGTTGACATTAAATTTAGGGAGCAATGTCTGTCAAAAAAGCTACAGAGAAAAAAAAAAGAGAAAAGGAAGAGGACAGAACCAAATGAAACGCCATACTGTCAGTGCAACACAGTTAGAGCTTTAGTTGCAAGCTGGCTGGGCAGGGATGGGTGCCACATTGTATCCAAGCAATATTGACACAAATTTCAGGCGTTGATGGTCTGTCATAATATGGTGCCAGCCTTTGATGTGGGTCGTACTATTTTTCAGTATGTATGTAAACGTCTTCCATATCCAATGACCCTGCTAACAGCCATAATGGATATGGAGGTGTACCATATAAAGACGGAGAAAGAGAGAGAGAGAGAGTGTGTGTGAAAGAGATTGATATATACACTAAGGACAAAAGAAATTATGAAATAATATGGCACGATTTCCAGCTAACAGTAAGTGAAATTGGGGGAAGTCAAGAACTTGAAGTTGCTTAAAATGTGAGAGAAATCTATTTTCTAATTTTCGTTATTTTGGTTGAAGCAGCAATCTTGAGCATTTAAAATGGCTTTACTTAGTTTTTATATATTCTATTACATTGTAAACTACATAACTTCCGTGGTGAAAATATATAACGAATATTTTTAGCTTCCAGAAAAGCTTTAAGTTCATTTTCTGGTTATGCAAATAAGAGCAACCCTTCACTGAAATATCTGTAAAATTCAAACATCGCTCCAGGTTCCGCCCATCCGCCTCGTCGTATATCATTTTTCAATTTCCTTTTGCATGCTTGCAAGAAATTCAAGAGAGAAAGATTTGGATTATTTTACGGAATATTTACTACACTTGCAGATTTTATTGCCATGCAACCTCAATTTAATTCCGACTAACTAGTTGCGTATGAAATTAAACAGACCAGACCAGCAACATGATTTTTCTAATTTGATGCGAGACATTTCACATGCAAAGTTTATGACTAGTTTGCTTAGCATAAGATGGAGCATAATTCAAAATGTGCAGCAAGTGTGCTTGTAGCTTAAAGTATCATGCTTCCCCCACAAATACCCTCATCGCCTCAGAAACCAACTATAATGTCTTTAAGGAAATGAAATTTAAAGAGAATTGCATTTGAAATTATAGCTTAAGCTTAATGCTTATCACATTCTCGACCATTAGAGTGCAATTGGCTGTTTAAGGAAGTTTGTGCCTTTCTCTGTGCTGCCTGGAATTCAATTAGGAAGTTAATTGGTCGTTCCATATACGTATTACCAAAAACAACAGCCAATGGACAAGCTGGAGGAAACAACCGATTTCCGGCAGACCGAAGACTGAATCAAATCAAGCAGCAAAACTTTTCTAACTAGCAAAAGTCTGTGTGCATGGATTGGTTCATGTGGCTGTGGCATATTTAGCATAGAATTTCCATGTGCAGACGCAGAAGCTACTCATGTGCATGCCTAATGAAGCCATCCAGAGCGTTGGAATTGATGAGGCAGCAGTTGGCTTTGAAGATGTTAGCCAAGTTCTGGGATGGGCGGTAAAGTTTAGCAGACAGCTGGAGTGGCTGGACCAATGTCCACAAGTTGCTTTCTACTGCGATGCTCTGTATGCCTGGTCATGTGCGGCAGAGAAATCAATTAACTTAATTTCCGCACGTTGCGACAAAGCGGCATTGGGATTAGCAGTGAGCGTGTCGGCGTGGGAGAGAGTGGGCGTGTCCAACGCAGGACAGTCAATAAAAGTTTTGAACGACAACAACAGGATGTGCATAATTCTGTCATTGTACAAAGACTTAGAAACTTTGGCACATAACAAGCAAAGAATTGACAATGCGCAACTGAGAAGGGGCATGGGTGAGGGGGGCAAGGTGAGGGGTGCCGGGAAACACAAGTACACAAAGTTGTTCGATGTCAAAGTCAAAAGTTTAATTGACTTGGCGACACTTTTGCCTCAAATCCAAATTCGAATCAATTTACTTGACAAAGTGCTGTCCTTCCTTACAGATTGGTCTGCTGCGTGGCGGCAAAATGCTGGCCGAGGAGTCGCCCACTTATCTGCGGCAACAGTACAACGCCGAATCACTGGAGGATGTTTTCCTTAAGCTATCCGTGATACAGAACATGGGCAAGCGACGACGCTCCTCAATTGCACAGGAGATTGTGGAGCAGGTCACCGTGCCAGCCATTTCGAATCCAGCGCTGGACATGTCCGATGAGCAGCATGCCGCCGAAATCTCTGGAGAGTTCGGTGATAATATATCCATGTCATCGGCGGCGCGTGATCCCATCAGCAGTACGGCGCCCGCTGCACCACCCTTGCCACCGGCGGAGGATATGCCCACATCCATTTGGTACAAACTGCATGTGATGCAATCGCATCATTTGCACGCGCTCATCTGGAAAAACTTTCTCTGGATGATGCGCAACGTGGGGTAAGCAACGGACTAACTAACTAGCTGGGTAACCAGAACCATCAACTGACTAACTAACTATCTGCTGCTTGCTCCTCTAGGATAATGCTGTTCATAGTGGGCCTGCCAGTGCTGCAGATATTGCTGTTCTGCTATGCGATTGGTCATGATCCCACTGGCCTCAAATTGGCTGTGGCGAATCACGAGATGTCCGAGGAAATGATTATGCAACAACTCTGTCCCGTGCGCTCCGGATGCAATCAGACTATGCTCAGTTGCCGTTATCTCGATATGCTTGTGAAGAACAAGAGCATGGTCCTGGTGAGTACATGCAATGCAAATTACATTTTGCCCGGGTCGGGTGAACAGGAGTGATGGGTGGTGTTTCAATTGTGCAATGAGAAATTGCTGCTGGCTACTACAATAACCACTCATGTTACTTATACAATTGTTGTTGTTTTTGTTGATTTTGTTGTTGTTGCTGTGACTGTTGCTGTTTCTGTTGTTGGTTATTGAAGTACGTTGAGACGACGGTTCGACCCTGCCGGCCATTCGTGTAATTTATTTCAATTTGTGTGGACAGCAAAGCTGGTCAGCTACAGTGTGCATGCTCTTCCATCTACTACACACAACGCCTGGCAATCTCAGACCCACCTCCCCCTTACCACACTCCTAAATCAACTGACGGAGTCCCTGAGCACCGTGCGAGTCCCTCCTCCTTGGAGTTAGCACCGTCTTGGCTGTTGTTGTTGTTATTGTTGTTGTTGCTGTTATTGCCTTTGGTGTTGGCGCACACAAATTACAGCTGCTTATCTTTGGCAACAACAGTTCGGCAGCAGGGCACTTGGGCAGCTGGGCAGTTGCTGACCGGTCGAGATCATCAATAAAGTTACTTGCTGTGGGCAAAAATAGTAGTTGAAAGCCAGCCCCAGTGCAGTGGAAATGCCCTTCATGGCAATTTATTGCAAATTACGCTTCAAAAACAATGCCGCTATTCTTAACTAATTTGGGCACGAGCGCTATCGGATCCTTCAAGGCATCCAAGTTACAAAATTGTCATTCACAAGAAACATCTGTTGAGTATTTTTTTAGTTGGAAAAATGATTTTTTTTATAATATTTAATTATAGTTTATTTCTTGAGATTTTTTAATATTTAGCAAGTAATGAAACCATGTCCATAAATTGCCATTGTTTTTGTTTATATATTTAAAATATCTGTATTTCATCTAAAGTCAAAATTTGATGACTTTTTTAAAGCTCTGAATGCTAAATTACAGGCTACAAGAAAGGAGCATTTGAGTAGGAGTGTATTTTTTTGGGTAAAGCAAAATCCACGATCGGCACTACTAATTTAGTTTTACCTCCGACAACGATCATAAAATGATGGATACATACCAGCAAATTTAAAAAATTAAAGCGAACTTCAACTGTATACATTTAAAAAAAGATTTGGGCATGACCTGCTTTAAAAGTTGCTACAAATGTTGCCTCTTTTAAAAACAATACAATAATAATAACAATAACAAGGCTGCCACGCCATATCAACAACAATGCATACGGCTCAACTGCCAATTTGCGAAGCTGACCCCGAAGCCAAAACTTTTGCTTTGGCAGAAATATTGAAAAACCGCTTGGTCAAACGCCGAAGCCCCTTATCATTCCGAATTTGCGTAAATTTTAGCAAAGATAAGAAATAAAAATAATATAAAATACAGAAAAATACTTGGCTTGTGTATCCTTGCAACGCATCTGCTGCTCTTGTTTTTGTTGTTTCCACTCACTGTGTCTCCCACACCTTGCTAAGCAGGGGCCAAAGTTAATTTTGCCCAATGAACAGCATATCAAGCAGACATCAGTACGTGGCCAGCAGCAACAACAATAACCAGAAACGATAACAACAACATTTCCAACGGAATATCCTGCACTCCACAATTTGTACCCTAAAGGCGGCTTTCGCATTTGCTGAAATTTGAATTTTTCACCGCTTTTTTCGTTGCCCGTTGGCTGCTTCAGCCTTCTTGCGTATTGACAGCAATTCAATAATTCGCTTGCTATCAGCCAGATGCCAAAAACAAGTAGCTACAGCAGCTCCTATATGCCCCAGCTTCAAGGGCAAAAAACACAAAAACATTTTTTTAAGTCTTGTGTTCCTTGTGGTTTGTCGCCTTAGATCAAAGGCATTCAGCTTTTGGGCTCCCTTATCTAAGTGCTATAAAAATCGGTCTTTATTTTTGGCAACCTTTTAACCGCAACCCGTAGGCTGAATTCTGGCCCAGTCAAAGCCAATGGCAACAACTTCTGCCCCTTGGGCACTTTTGGTTTTTAATTTATGCCCAAAACGGGTTTTTGTGCGCTACTCAATCCTTGTTGTTGTGACTTTTAATTAAAAGTTCATTAGGCGTGACAACGCTGCTCATTAGGCGACTTTTGCTGCTTAGTAGATTGGTAGGGGTAGCTGCGTGTGGGGTTTTGGGGGTTTGGTAAATGCAGTGCGTTTATTGTTGCACTTGATTAGCGACAAGCTTTAACTTTAGGTAAAAACCTTTTTGTTGCGGTTACTTTTATGGGGAAGAAATTTTGCGGTTAGAAGTGAAACCGAAAATTGCGCAGCTATGAAAGAAAGTTTCACCTGCTCTGGTCTTAAGCTCATTTGCGTAGAGCTGCAACCTGCTCTGGTCTATGGATATACAGTTTCTGCTTCTCCGCATCGGCAATCTTATTTACCGTCCAAGCTAACTTTATTTGCGCATAGTTTGTGACTGAAGTTTGTCATAAACAATTTTGAACTTAAGGTTCAGCTAAAGCATAAAAGTTGTCAAGATAGGTAAATTGTTTGACTCTTACTGCGCCAGCTGTTGGAAGCAGGAAATGCGATTAGGTTGATTCTACATTAATTGTTATACAATTTAGGTTTTTAGTTTTTTTCTATGTAACTCCCAATTGCACTTTCTCCAATTGTTGGTGGTATTCTACAATTTAATTCTTAAATTTGTACTATTTTAAAGAGGATTATCCAAAAGAACCCTAATTGTCAATAAATTTGTTTATATGTTCAAAAATAGAGCTCAGTGAAATGCTTAACAAAACTTATACAATTAAGTAGGGCAATCGACAATCGATAGTTTTACAACGCTAATAAAATGAGCAGCTGGCGCTATAAATTTATTAAAACTATGTAAGCCATGTTTTAAGCCGACAAATTCGATTAACCATTAAATCGAATGGAGCTTATCGACGTGTCGAGCTCTCCAACCACATTCATGTTTGTAGCATGTGTGTATGAGAGTGCGTGTTTGTAAATGACTTCATTTGTCTAAACATTAATGCGGCAATTGCGTAAATTTCACGCCTGTTGTTTTAGAGACCCTTTTGGTTTAAATACACACACACACACACACACACACACACACACACACGCATACGCAGAAATACACACAGAAGTTTTGTAACCACAAAATTGCTCAAGCTTAGCCCAAATACAAATGCCAATACATGTGGCAGCAGTTATCGTTGTTGTTCTTCTTATTGTTGTCTGTGGGTTATTGTATGTACATAAGTGGCTGACAAAACTTTAGGCAAAGTTCTGGCCCAAAAAGTTGTTGGAACCAACTTAATCAATGTATGAGCACTTATACGGACTGGCTTAGGCCCAAGGATATGCGGGCAACAAATTTCTGTTTCCACTCTCCGCTCTGAGCTTACACTTCATTATTTATTTTGCGTATTACACAGAAGCTGTAAAAAAAAATTGAACAAAAAAATTCAGCGCAATGAAAATGTAAAAGATAACAAAAACATATTGTTGTTGACAACAACAATACGAGAACAGGAATAACGTAACAATAACGTTGACTGGCAAAAAGCAAGAGGCGCAACGCACAAAAGTAGGCAACGCATATTGTATTGCTGGGTTGCCTTGAGGATCTTTCTCTAGTGTTGTTGTTATTCCTGTCGTTGTTTACAGAATTTATCGCTTGACGCAAAGTACGCACATTAATTACTCGGAGTTACTTTTATTGTGCTGCTACAACATGCAACAGACAATGCGACAGGAAATGAAGCGAGATACAATAACTGTAGCAGCAGCAGTAACAGTTACAGTCAAAGTAACTGTACCAGTTACACACAGTACTCCATATACAACATATAACATATAACAAGAAAGAAACCGCCGCTAAGCCTTAGACCCAGTTCCCTGACATGCGTGACTCAATAATTTAGCGCCGTTGGCTCTTTTAATTGCACAACAACAAACAAGAATAAAAGGCGCCTAGTCATGCTGCCGCTTCACACTCACCCACATAAGTATATTTACCAGTCGTTCTGTGCTGCCTTCGGCTGGGCAGGTGCATTGACTTTTTAAGCTAATTGAATGGGCAATTGATTGACTGCTAGCATTTGCCGCTTTACTGACTTGATTCACCCATCTGTCTCTCTCTTTCGCTATCTCTATCTCATTCATAGAAATATGTGAACGATGATGAAGACGCCTACGAGGAGGTGCGGCGGGGTCGCGCCTGGGCCGCTCTTGTCCTACAGTCGAATTACACCAGTTCCCTGGTCGAGCGCGTCGAAGAGGGCCGATACGCAGAAGATGCCACCGTGGAGGCATCTGATTTGGGCGTGCGCATGGACTGGTCAAGTAAGTATTTTAATTGAGTTTTTATTTGAAATTCAATAAATTCAGAATATTTCTTTGAAATTATTGGACAGCATTCATTGTGCAAGTTTTTTTAGACAAGTTTTAGCTTTCAAATTGAAATAGCTATCGATTTATAAAATTAATTTGATCTGTCAACAATTTTTAGGGCCGGCAAACAGACACAATATTAATGATATTTTATTGGTCTGGCAAGCAAAAAGTTTTGCTATTATAAAAAGTATATTAATTTAAAATTTTGTTTTACACAACTGCTTCCACAGATCAACAGATATCGACTCTGCTGTATCGTGACTTACAGTACACATTCTTCAACTTTGTGGAGGCCATTTTAATCGATTGCAACCTGAATCCAAAGCTGGGACGCGTCCCCGTCGAGTGGAAACAGCCTATTTATGGCTATAGGGACCCGAATTTCACTGACTTCGCGGCGCCCGGCGTTATACTGACCATCATCTTCTTCTTGTCGGTGGCGATCACATCTGGCGCGATGCTGATTGAGCGCAACGAAGGCATGTTGGAGCGTTGTCTGGTTGCTGGAATAACGGGACCGGAGATATTGCTCTCACAGGTGGTCACACAGTTCACGGTGATGCTGAGTCAGACAACGTTTGTGCTGATTGTGAGCTTCTACTTTTTCGAACTAACATTGGTCGGAGACCTGTGGCTAGTGGTGGCTCTGTGCATTCTGAATGGACTCTGCGGCATGACATTCGGCTTTGTCATCTCATGTGCCGTGGATACGGAACGAACGGCCACATATGTGGCAATGGGATCCTTCTTGCCCATGGTGATGCTGTGCGGCATCATTTGGCCCATTGAGGGCATGTATCCGCTGCTGCAGATTGTCACCGCCTTCCTGCCGCTGACCAAGCCTACAGAATCGCTGCGCTCGATACTGCAACGCGGCTGGGGCATGGATAATCCCTCAGTGTACAATGGATTTATTTCAATATCATTGTGGGTGGCCGTGTTTCTCATAATCACCATTCTGATGATCAAGTTCAAGAAGGGCTAAACTAGTTGGCTCCCTAGTTGTAAAAGCTATGATTTTACTAGGTCGTAAGGGTAGCTGTTAGAGTCCGTTAAGTCTTCTTAGCGAGTGAATGTCTCTTGTACAATGTGTTAGTCACCCTAATTACTATATATGTTATAAATGTACACTTAAGGTTCCGGATGTCACATGTTCATGGAAATGTTGTGCCTTTTATTCTTAAGATTTCATATCACTTTTCGCCAATCAGCTGTCATCAAACAATTAACATTTGACAATTATATATGCTCATGCTCACTCACGTCTTACACTGGTCGATATAAACATTAGTACGTATTGTGAAAGTTAATATCAAGGTTAATCTTATTAAATTAGTGCTCTGCATTTTATTATCACTTTTAGATACGGATTATGTAATAAAATGTGAACACAGTAAATCTGAGATGTTCAAAATAGATACAAATATCATTATGGTTCTAAAATTTCCTGGATAATTTCCCATTTAAGGTGACTACGTAAGTATGTTGTCGATAAGCTTTAAACGGTTTTCTTTCCTGGTCATATTGACAGAATTTGTAATCATTAAGAGTGAACTTTAAAATGCAGTTGGCAATGCTTTTCATTATAAGTCAAATTGAGGCACTTTGTGACCTTTTTCAATCAGTCCTTGATTTGGCCAATATTTATTTACAGAGAACAGCTGCAATCAAACGTTCTCCCCCTGACATACTCAACTGTCAGTCAGCTCGGATGCTGGTCACATTTGCGACCCGCTCCCCTTCGGAAGGTGGTTCTTAAACATGCGCATTATTTGTAGGTGCATCGCCTCCAACTGTGTGTTGTGGGATGGGGCGGGGCATCTGAGCTTGTCAGCAAGCTCGTTTTCGACACATTTCACATTTTGCGGCAAAATCAATTAAACCGGAAATGCATGTAGCCAAGAATAGAAGTGGGACAGCGTGGCCGTGCACCACGTGCAGCATCCGCTTAGCACAAGAAATCAACTTAACAAGCGGACAAAGTGCCAGGATGGCAAAAGGATAGGGAATTCATCCTTTGTTTCTGTTGCTGCACTGATCGAATGTATGGTGCCAGGCCATAGAAAAACCAGCGAACACACCCTGACTGCAGGGCGTTTTGTATGCATATGTAGGTCAGCTCACATGGGCTGGACTTGGCAGACCATAGCTGGAACTTGTAACTTGCTCCACATGTCGTCCGTTTCCGTGACCCGGACAACGACTAGAGCCACGACTGTGCTTGCCACAGCATTGATGTGCACTATCCATCTCCATCTTCATCTCCATATCTATGCGTCCTTATCACCCCATCACTCAGCCTCCAACCTCCAACCATATTCCATCAACTCAATGAGTTGCCGTCGCAAATCAGTCAGGCAATGCGAAGGCGACTCCTCGTCCTGGTTGACCGCTGGCCCTCGATTGGACTCTTAGATGTGTGTATTTACAATTAGATATCCGTCAGATATCGATAACGGAAGCAATTGCTATTATTTTTCACATTTTGTTTGTGTGTGTGTGTGTGTTTGTATTTGGGCGCCATCATTGATTACTTGAGTGCAGCCGTCAGCTACACTCGAGCACACAAATTGGAAAATTCAGCGTTGCTGCTGGTGAAACTCATTTTCGATTTCATGTTCGTGCTGGCAGCGGAAGGAGGTACGCACTTCTTTCCACATAATTGAAAGTTCAAACTTTTCGACTTGCCGCTGAATTAATTTTTCAACTTCATAATTTCACGTGCCCCGTGAAGCCTTAATAACAGCCATACAGACAACCAGACAGCCAACCAGTCATCCAGCTAGCCAGGACCGGGCAAGGCATGGCAGGGCAGGGCGGAAGGCCACCATCACTCAGCCAGCCAGTCAGTCAACCAGTCAGCCAGATGTCTACAATGGCTCTTTGTTTGTGGCTGCTCCTTTTGCTGCATTCGCAATCGCGCTGAACTGCTGCTCTTTCGTCGTTTTCGAGAAGTGTTGCTGCTCTGCCAACACGAAGGCGTCTTAATTAATTGCTCAATTAATTTAATGTTCAGCCAGCATCTGCCTGCCTTACTGCCATTCCGCCAACCCCACTTCCGAGAGACTTGTTTAGCATTCCAGCCATTTGCTTTGCTGTTCAAAATGTCAATTGTCTGTTCATTTCAATGGGCTTCAGTATCACAAATGTCAGCGCGCAAATGTTTTGTGCTTCTTGGCATAAATCTGTCTGTTCACCCCAGCCATATCCCTTTTCTGGCTTGGGTCATTCAAGCAGTCTCTAAACAAATAGGTCACCTTTTCGCGGTGGCATTTTAATAAAATGTAATTTCAAGAATTTGACTTTAAAAGTCCTCTTACACTGTTTCCCAATTTCTGGTGGTTTTGAGGAGCTTTCTAGAACAAAGCTTTATATGAAGTCTTAAGCACAGTTATAGAGAGTATAAGAAAAACCTGTCTGTTCAAATTGAGAGACGGCGTTCAAGATATACAAACCTTAACAAAAAAACATATTTTAAAATTAGTCTAATTTAATCGATCAAGCTTAGCAAAATATAAATTTGCGCGCTGGTATAAATCTGTAAATCTTAAAAATTAAAAGACTTATTAAAATTCTTCAGTTAAATTAGATTTTAATATTAAAATTGTTACGTTCAGGTAGGTGAAAATACAAAATTAAATAATTAATTAAAATTAAAGAAGTAATAAATGTCAACAAATTATGTAGCTGAAAAAACTCATTTCGCTTAATCAATTTTAAAGAGCTACGTGCTAATATTGGATTTTCTCAGGCTATTTTTAATTGTAACTTAAATCAAGATGGAAAATTTCTAACTTTTTCACTGAGTATATAAAATTAATTAATTATTTACGAACATGTCCATCACATTCAAGTGCGGATGCTTACACTCCTGCATAGTTATTATATTTTTCAGATTTATAAATTTATTGTTGTAATTATTTTGGTTTATTTTTATGATTTATTTTTTTTTGTAGTGGCGTTGACCCTTAATTGTTTCCACATGCCCAGATTGTAAGTGTCAACTGCAAACTCTACGTAGGATGTTGAATGTGCAATCAATTTGCAATTGACTCGTGTGTAATTTCATTGTGCTTGTTATTGCATTATTTATATGCATTAATTGCCACTTAATCAGCAGAGAGCTGTTTGTATATCTGTTAGGGTTTTTATCATGCTGATGTTTTCTTTTTTTTTGTTGTTGTTAATTTGCCATCATCAATTTGCGCGATTGGTGATGACAAGTGCCAAAATCGAAGAAAACTTTAATTATTTAATCAATTAGCAGAAATAACGTCAACAAACACGCTCTTGTGCAGGCACTTTATTGTTTTAATGACAGGCATTAATTATTTGTGGTATATTATGAGCAATTTGTTTAATTTAGTAACGCCACAACGACAACAACAACATTTCATTTCATGTATTTTCCGTTTCCTGGCATTGCTGTGTTTCTGTTTTGCTTTTGATTTTCACTTGGCAAATTGTATAATGAATATGTCAATCAATTTTCCCACGATTTGCCACCAAAGTGTATGCCATACAGATGTCCTGCCCGGTTGCTGACTCACACACATACCACACACCACACACACACACACACACCCCCTCACCCACATACAAATACAGATAGCTGCCTGTCACACTCAATGCCAATTGCAAATTGAGTTCATCTGCTGGCGGCAAATATTGACATGACAGACACATTTTTATTTTATTTTATTTGCATTTTTATTTCACTCTTTGCTCATGGTTTGTACTACTTCCCCACTCTCATATTATATATATATATGTGTATATATAAATTTTTTTTTTGTACATCTTCATCTTTGCTTTGGCTTGGTACAGCCCAGAAGCAAGTTGTTGCTGCCTTTTTATAGCTTTATCTCGTTGTGCTTGTGCCTGTGTCTGTGTTTGTGCCTGTGTCAGTGCCCTTGACTGACGTGTCTCACTCACTTTCTGCAGCTGCTGTTTGCGCCACTCTCGGCGTGCCTGTGTCCTGTGTAGGTGGCTCAAATGACATATTAATTTCCAAAGGGGAAACGTAATAATATATAAATGAAGTTGTCGCCCGAGGCATGAGCCAGCTGCCGGCAAAACCCACTTAGACATACAATCGCATGCAAATAGCTGACGAAATCTAAATAAATATGATCTGGCAAATCAACGCCTTTGTATCGCCCCAAGGGTTGGGGAGATGAGGCGTTGCTGACTGGCTGTCTGTTAAGGGCTTACACATGCCATTACTCATGTTTCGCGTATGCCAGCTATTTTCGCTTGCCTTGCAATTTGTTTGCCAAAGAAATTAATATACCACAATGTTCATACTAAATATGTACAATATATGTGGAATTTTGGCGTATTTGATGAAGTTGTTGCCACGCACAGATCCGGCGCATGATAATGCTGTCAGCGTACCACAAGACGACGCAAGAGAAAAAAAAATACAACAAACAAAACAAATGCCAGGCGCCACATGGTTCGCACTTTCATCAATCATTCTTCGACACTGCCGTATCCACGTGGAAGCGCCAATAAGCCAAAAAGACTGAAGATAGGGCGAATATAAGGACTGCCAAAATGCCGGTCGCAACGGTCCAGAGCTCAATTGAAAAGGCATTTTGAAAAGCATCATAACGATAAATATTTTATTGTAATGTGCTTTGCAATGTTTACATGCCGGCTGCGTCTTCTGCACATGCGAGGGCAGTTCAAGAAATTGGTTTAAGTATATATATACTGAAGAAATAGGTGTCAGATTTGTGCTGTTCCAAATGTTTTAGTTATCAAGATGCAACCACAATTATATGTTGTTATTTTGATTTATTTATGTTCTATTTGTTGCCATTACTTTCAAAACAGCCCTCACTTTTGCTATAACTGTTTAAGCAGCATGTATTGCCATTATTTTCGCAGACGTTTGCTGCTGCTGCTGCTGCTCCTGTCTTTCAATGCATGGCTCTCAATTTGCAGTCGCTGCTGCTGTCGACGACGACGGCGACGGCGCTTTCACGCTGTTGCGCGCGCTTATGGGCAACACTTAATCGGCTTCCGGGGATATTTGGGATTTGGGACGGAAACCCATTTTGTGTCAAGACGCAGCTAGCGCTGCTATTTTGCCATCGGTTTTTTTTTTTTGCTTTTCGTTTTTTTGTTGGCAGCTTTTCATTTGGGCATTTTCCTTTGGCCGCCCCTTGTAGTCTTTTGTTTTGCGACAATTTGCAGCTTGCTTTCTTACTTATCCATACTTAAAATTTACAACAAAAGCAGGCATCTCAAAATGAACTACTTAGTTCTACTTCTTGTTTTTTTTCTCTCATTTTTTCTCATCTTTTTGTTTCTTTATGTTTATTTTTTGTGACTGTGGACTGCAGCTGCTTGAGGCAAACATACAACAATGAAGCCAAT